ACCGTGTTGACCAGGATGGTCTCGATCTCTTGACCTCGTGATCCACCCGCCTCGGCCTCCCAAAGTGCTGGGATTACAGGCTTGAGCCACCGCGCCCGGCCTCGCTTAGCATAATGTTTTTAAGGTTCATCCATATATCAATACTTGCTTTATTTTTAAAGCTGAATAATACTCCATTGTGTGGCTATCTTACATTTTCCTTATCCATTCATCATTCATCAGTTGATGGACATTTGGGTTGCTTCCACTTTTTGGCTGATGGAAGCTATGAACACTCATGTACAAATTTTCATATGAAAATGTTTTCAACTTTCTTGGGTATATATTCAGGAGTGGAATTGGTAACTTTATATTTAATATTTTGGTGAACTCTCAAGTTGTTTTCCAAAGGGACTGCACCATTTTACAATCCAACCAGCAATATAAAAGTTTCTAGTTTCTCCACATCCTCACCAACATCAATACTTTTCTTTTTCATTTTAGCCACCAGAGTGGATAGAGCTCAATGATGCTTTGATTTGCATTTTCCTACTCTTGAAAGGAAGATGTCAAACAAATAACTTTTCATGTGCTTTTAGCCATTTGTATATACTCTTTGGAGAAATGTCTATTCAAATCTATTGCCCATTAGAAAACTGGGTTGACATTTTATTGTTCAATTGTAATAGGTAATTATGTATTCTAGATATGTCTTTTATTAGAAATATTTGCAAGTATTTTTCCTCATTCTGTGGGGTTTTTTTTCACTTTCTTGGTGGTGTTCTTGGAAGCACAAAACAAAATCCAGTGTATCTATTCTTTTGTTGCTTGTGCTTTTGGTGCAGAACCACTGCTTTTTATAGCATATTTATGATATTTTAGCTACATTAGTGGGTTAAATCAATTTTTGAGAGCTGGCCTTTGAATCTAATTAATAATTGTAATTTTTCTGAGAAAATATATTAAGGCGACTAACAATGATTTTTTTAAAATGAATGCTTGAAACATAGTCAATTGGGAATTTGATAATTTCCTGTATCTTATTATGATGCAAACATGAAGTGTTAGAGATTAGAGGCTGTGCAGCTGTGCAGGCTTTGAACTGGAAGGATCATGAGAGGCTTTGGGGCAGATGAGGGCTCAAGAGGGTTGTTGGGGTGCAGGGGATCCTGGAAAGAAGAATAGGTAGAACTAAAATGATGTCAAGGAACCTGTCCTCCTTTTAGAATGAGCTAAGGCAGCTTGAGTTTAGAATATTTAAGAGCAGCCTTGGGGGTTATCATAGCTGGCGCAAAAGTGGGAAATAGAAAGGAACTCGATGTGCAGCCAGTGAAGACCATGGCAGCCACTGAAGACTATGGTGAGCACTGAGGACCATGGCAGCCACTGAAGACTATGGTGGGCACTGAGGACCATGGCAGCTACTGAGGACCATGGCGGCCACTGAAGACCATGGCGGTCACTGAGGACCATGGCGGGCACTGAGGACCATGGCGGCCATTGAGGACCATGGCAGGCACTGAGGACCATGACAGGCACTGAGGACCATGGCGGGCACTGAGGACCATGGTGGCCACTGAGGACCATGGCGGGCACTAAAGACCATGGCGGCCACTGAGGACCATGGTGGGCACTGAGGACCATGGTGGCCACTGAGGACCATGGCGGGCACTAAAGACCATGGCGGCCACTGAGGACCATGGCAGGCACAGAAGACCATGGTGGCCACTGAGGACCATGGTGGCCACTGAGGACCATGGCGGGCACTGAGGACCCTTGGTCAAGATCAGCTGCACTTTCCTTCTGTGAGCAAAGAGACCAAGACACTGTGGAGGTCCCAGGGTCACTCCAGCCATGCCTAGAGCCGACTCAATGCTCCTGCTGGCTCCTGGACCATTCTAGTGGAAAGAGTACTAAGGAAAATGTGGGGTGAAGGTCTGTCTGCCTAGGAATGCCTAGGCCTGTTGAGAGTTAAAGTCCTGGGGTAGCACATTTTGGCACAGTGGACCTTATGTAGCCACATATGTATTGCCATATGTGGCGGTTTGAAGGAGATCTGAGGAAATGGGGATGAAGGATAGGAGAAGGTTTGAGGCACAGGAGGAAGAGGTCTGTTTTGACTGATATCAGGTAGTTAAAAATAGATGAAAGCTTAACTGTATGCTTTTTATTTGGTAACAAAGTGTTCCCCTCAAAATGGCTGGGTCAAAGCAACAATGACAAAAATGTCATGTACCCTGAGTCTCTGCATGAGGCTTAGTCCCTGCGATCTGTAAGTTGCTGCAAGTGTGAGGAACTGTCTGCCTGCCCTTGTCTCCCTGCCAGGCTTCTGTTGCCTGTAAGATTTGTGAAAACAGAAATTATATCTATCTAAACATTTCTTATCTCAGCATCTCCTCATTTCCTGTTCCATCTGACCAGTCCCTCTCTGTCCATACGCATACCCTACATACCCTTGAAGAACTCAGTAAATATTTATTGATGATGAAGATAATCATTAAAAATATGTTCCCATCAATGCGATTTATCTCTTGCCACTCAGGTGTCTTAAACTCATGAGAACTGCTTCACAGATGTGTTCCCTTCATTTAAAAAAAAAAAAAAAAAATCCCATCCCATCTCCTCTGAGTTCTGAGAAAATTTGTTTGAAAATAGGATACACTTACCCATCCACCGTGCTGCTGGATCCATGGTGAGAAGTTCTCTTTCAGGTACTTGGTGCCAAAGCCCAGCACCCTGTTCATCGGATGGTTGTCAATAGCTGTGAGCTTGGCCATGGCGTCTATTGCAAGGGCAGCCTTAAAACCATGAGCTTTGACCTCTGATTCTCCCCTGGTGTCCACACCCATTAGGACCCGGTCTGTGATGGTCTTAAAAACAGGGTAGGACAGCCCATCCTGGATGTGGCCCATCAAAGCCTTGTTTTTCTTAAGCTGTGTATAAGAGAATAAGCACTCAGTACAGTCGCTTGGCTCCATGAGGCAGACAGAAAGCCATTCTTCAGCTCAAATCAGGCCATCAAACCAACCTATGGCAAACCCTGGATGCTGGTTTTAACTAAGGGAATGGGGATGAAGGCAGTGTCCTGCAGAACCAGAATGGGCATGTACCGCTCGGTGAATTTTTTCAGCGGCACAAATATGTGATAAAATGGAACAGTTCATTCATTTGACATTCAACAAATATTTCTTGAGCACTTATAATGGGCAGGTAGTGTGGATGACCGAGATGCAGGTCCTCACCCAAAGGGCTCACAGTTTAGTGAGAATTGTAAAACAATGCGATGTGCTTTGCCAGAG